CTTTATAAAGCTACTGAAATAACTACCCCAAATAACTGAAAAATACTGGTAGTATAGGAGTTTCTTTTAAAAAGTTAAATAGTAATTCTAAATGAATATTCAGTGTCAAAAATTTTTAAATAAATTCACCATATATCAATTAAAATCAATTCCCTCTAACACCCTTCCCACAATCTCTACTCCCCTCTTATTTATCCACTCCCACCCCCAATCATATTAGGAAATAACTATGAGAATTCAGGGATGTCACAGCTCAATCATAGCCAAGATACATCATCAAATCTATCAAATCTTTTTGGAAATACTCCAGGAATATAGTTGTTTTTCCTTCATTTTTGAAATACTTCTTATCACAATAAGTGCACTCTGGTGTCTTGGCTTTGAGCCTTGAGTTTATCCTTTATTTAAAGGAAAACATGCTTTGTTCTTTATTTTCTTTCCTTCTCAGCTCTTGACATTATGATCTTAAGCACTCAGTCTCCATAAATTCTAAAGTGTCATGAGAGACTTATGGCTTGATTTTACATGGAATGTGCCATCCTTTTTGAAGTCTAACATCATTTTGTTTACTACTTAACCACTGAAACATTATGAAGCCTTAACTAGCCTATTATCAGAGCCTGTTCACTATCAGGAAAACCCTTTGTCACTGGCTTCCGTCACACCTTGTATCTGATTAACACACTATAGGATAACGCAGAGCTACATGGGACTGCTTTGTGTGTTCTAACATAACTGATAGAAAACAGATTTTCCTTTCTCCTTTAATGTGGCAGCCCCCTAAATGAGACTGTAATATGGTTTATTTAATATAATTTTTCATACTAAATTAAAGCAGGTCTAGAGTAATTTAGTTGCTCATTAAGATTAAGGTGGTAGCTGCTAAAAAGATGCTTTTTTTATCTTAGAAAATTATTTCTCCCAATGACACACACACACAATAAAAGTTGTTGACCTTTATAAACTATCTCTCAATAGAAGTACACCAAATGCTGACCTTTCGCCTTGACCACAAAGTAAAAGATATAACTAAATAATATTTATTTAAGCAAAAATTAATAATTTTTTTCTTTCTTACTACAGTTAAGTCCAACTGTTGCCAATTTAAAAAAATGAAGTAACAGGCATATATACATTTATGTATATATAATTTCGTGTATTTAAATTCTAACAAGCTGGAAAATATCCTAAATATCTACTTTTTTAAAATGCAATATGAAAATGAACTACAAAAGAGGGCTAACCAAACTTATCTCATTAAACCCAATTAGACAGTATAGAACTAAGAAATAAAAATCAAACTTATGTCGAGAAATGAAAATTTATGAAGACTGCAAAACAAGCAAGAACCAGTTCTACCTGCTCTGGAGAAAAATTATTTTAGATGTTTCTGTCAACAACTCACTTGAAAATCACTGGTCTGTGCCTATACCCAACCTGCATGCCAACTGAAAGTGACTAGATACCTATTATATTAATAACTAATCCCTACCTATATTATACTGTAGAAAGCCTGAGTTCTAATGCTAATCCTAAACCTATAAAACCTTTTCTTTAATTTTTTTCCAAGATGTTGTGAGATACTTTTTAAAGTGCTCTCCCTGGATAGCAAGATTTTTGTTTGTTTGTTTGTTTGTTTGTTTGAGAAAGGGTCTAGCTCTGTTGCCCAGGCTGCAGTACAGTGGTACAATCATAGCTCATTGTAACCTCAAACTCCTGGGCTCATGCAATCCTCCTGCCTCAGCCTCAAAAGTAGCTGGGACTATAGGTATGTGCCAACAGGTTCATATAATTTTTTAATTTTTTGTAGAGACAGGGTCTCACTATATTATCCATGCTGATCTTGAACTCCTGGTCTCAACTGAGCCTCCTACCTTGGCCTCCCAAAATGCTGGGATTACAGGGTGAGCCACTGTGCCTGGCCCTGGCAAGATTATTAATAAGCCCAGCTTTTCTGTCTGACACAGGCTTTCTTGGTAATCGTTTCAGAGACCATAACGATTAATGATGGAGAGGCTACATTTAAACCTTTATTGGCTTATCTGATTTTAATAAACCAGCCTTATTATGTACAATTTTGTCTGTCATAAAATGAAGATAATGAAGATAGCACCTCACTTTTCAAGTTTAAAATACTAGGGCTTGGTATTAATTCTAAATTATTAGAATACACATAGTTTGCCCATGATCATAATTAGAGTTACTAAAAAACGAAGAGCTAACATTCAAATATTCAGTGACACAAACCTGTGTTAGTACCAAATCACAAACCCGCCGGTCAATGACTAGAAAGACAACAGACATCAGTCTTTACCAGAGAACCTAGTTATATCCTTTCTGCTGTAAACACCCTAGAGATAGTGTGCCATTAGTATCCAATATCTACTGTTAGGGCAATGCAGTAGTACTGCTCCTGGAAGGCCAGTTCACATGCTTAGATAACAGTATCTTGGTGCTCTCCAGAGTCTAAATTGTAAACTTTTAGATTCAAGAGACTTTGTGTTGTTGAGTCTTGTATTCCCTGTGCCGATTTTAGTGTTTGGCACATAGTATGTACGTCAACACATGTATTAAGTGTTTGACAATCCAGAAAAATCAGGGGAGGGTTTTGTTTATCAATTTGGGAGTAATTTTTGAGGTTCTCAGATATTTCACACAAAGTTGAGCATATACTGAAGGATAAAAATCTAAATGAGTTTTTAGAAGCTCTCTAGATCAGATATGTAGGTTGTGTTCCATTCATGATTCCCAAGACACGGAGAGAAAAGGCAATGGTCAACTGACTATTATAATTTCCTTGGAAGATCAAGTATTAGGCTCCTCTCACCTTGCCCTTCTGCTCCTCTCTGCCTCTACAACATTCACTGCCTCCCCAGGCTACAAGTAACTTAGTCAACTCAGGGAACAACTTACTGATAAGGTCACAGAGATTGCATCACGCAATACAAGTCTTGTAATCCTCCACCATACATCTGTTTTATCAGTTGAGGGCTGGGGCCCAAATACATTAAACAAATCATTACTAGTGTATTATTTAGTCCTTTATTGTAGAAGGCATATTTCCCCAAGGCTTGGAATATATCTACTTTTCTTAGTATTATTCCACACTATCTGTCTTGAGTGGTAGTTTGTTTTCTTAAAGATAAATTGCTTTGAGTGACAAATATTCCCATTCTTTCTATATTTTTTGGATTTTTTATTATTATAGAATATAGTAAAGCAGAGAATACAAGGAAATCAATATCTAGAGATATAGAGAGTCTTAAGAGATCATCCACTCCTATTCTAGGCAGGTTTCTAATAAGCTGTTACTAACGCTAACTGAGACTTCTCATGGTGAGCACCACTTCAATGCAGCAAAGAAAGCAGAAGCCAGAATTAGTATAGGTTGATAGGAGGATGAGGGAAGTGAGGAAATGAAGGAAGTAAAATCTAGACAACTTTTTCAAAACTTTGTTTCTAGAAATGAAGAGAGAGCTAGGGCCATATCTAGAAGAGAAAAGAGACAAAGGGTAGGGGTGACTCCAATTTATGATGAGACTTGAACCTAGAGTTTAGAAATAATTTGAAATGAAAATATTTATTTTATAATAAATATATTCATATTTTTACAAAATATTTTCATAATAAGGTTGAGCTGGCCTTTTGGAACTATCATTAATTTACATTCTAAACCAAAGACACCTAATATATAAATCTAAGCATATTATCTTCCATCTACCTTTCCTCAAAAGAAGGTAGATAAAATGTCAAAGGTAATACATAACAGACTGACAACTCTCTCCTTTCCACATTGCTTAAAGTAAAATAATCACATGTAGAACTTTAAGAAGTTTCTTGTTCTTATTCTATACATACTACATACAAGAATGACATAGTAATCTACTAGAAAATAGTATATGAGCCATGAAATTGTTCATTAGGCACATTAAATATTCTATATTCATAAACTCTGTGATCAGAGGCCTACATGTATGAAATATCTTGGTAAAGCAAGGATTTAATATGAACATTTTCTTTACTCTGACTTAGAGTCAAAGCTAAAAATGTCAATGTACCCATGTAGTTCTAAACCAGTAACAAAATACTTAGTCAAATCTAAAAAGCAAAGGGTATCAAATAAGATGAATTTCTAAAATAAAATGTAGGTAAGTGACAAAAAAGTTCCTAATGGTGACTGTTTAGTTTCCAATGATAACACTAGCAGAAGTGCCAACTTAGTGGATTTCCAATGAAGTTATTGATTTTTCAAACTGTTATTCTGACATGTTTGAAAACTATTGAATAGGCTATATTCAATAAACTTTTTAAAAAGTGAGCCAAATCCAGTTCAAAGGAGGAAGCAAGCTGGCTGTGTCTAGCAGTATATGCCATAGGTAAAAAATGTTCAAAATAATCTAGTATCTGGCACAGGCCTGGGCAAGGCTCAAATCCAGGCAGGGTTAATAAGCTTCTAACCCAAGACTTAGATCATCCCTCTGATCATCTCTCTAGTCATGAATCCTTCAAAAACCTCCAAAATCATAAACGACATTGAGATTTTTATATTTCCCACCATTCCAAAGCAACTTACAAAACAATTCTATGTACAATATATAACAAAAATTATCAAATAACTAAAAAATAGCTGATTTGATTTAAAACATTTAATGGGCAAACTGCAAAGTTGATTGCTTGAGTTTTGAACAAAATTGTCTTCAAACTCCCTGCCCCTAAAATACAACAATTTCTCTGAAAAACAAGTGATTCTGAGAGGCCATGTAGATCAGACTTAAACTCTAAATGCGTAGAAAACCTCTTTATGTAAGGAGTCTATATATTTCAAAGTTGAAAGCCAAAAGAGTTAATGTTTAAAAAGATAAATTTAGTATCATTGTATTTTCTGAATCTTATCAAAATATAAATGTGTTTACACTGAATGCATGGTTCAAAATAGGTTTTCAATGTCTTTTTCCCACAAAAATGAAGTCTATTAGACTTTGTGTAGAGAGAATACTTACCGCTATAATATCTAATGTATTATCACAGACCTTCCGGATTTCATTATTTTTATCATGCATCAGGTCTATGAGATATGCTGGAGCCTCTGAATAGAAACGGTTAAAGATACAAACTGTATTTGATATTGTAGCAATTCAATCATATTAGAAAATCCCACATTTCTCTAAATTTAAATGCTAAATTAAAATTTTGCTTCAAATTTTAAAGTAACACTATTAATACAAGATAATCAGAAACATTTATATTTCATTTGTTGAAAAAACAAAGATAGTGGGGACATAAAAATGAGAAAAATTTAGATAAAAATAAAATCAAGTCACTAGATCTCAGAACACGTAAGACTGTATTTTTGAAAACATTAGGCAGGGCTAATTGTATTTTATTTTCCCATACTACAATTGTTGGGATTATATAAATATTTTTGACTATAACAGCATTGGTTTTCAATTTCAGATTCTCAATACCTTACGTCATTGATTTATGCTGAAAGCCAGTTTAATTTTTCAAACATCTTAATATTAATCATATATTTATTTAAAATAAGTCTATACTAGCCATCTCAAATGTCAAGTATTTTTTTAAAAATTATATCAAATATTGATCAAACTTTCTGGTTTAACAAAAAATGGGAAAAGGAATGAATTCTTGCCTAATAGATTCTTTATTTTAAATGTTTAAATATATTGGATTCATAGGGGAAAATCACAATAAAATGCTTACAATTACAGTGAAATGAAATATTTAATATTTTTTAATATGTAACAAGTTATAACATGATACGTTTAAATGTAATTGACATCAACAAAAATCCTGTTTTTTGAACTCCAACATATTTCTGAATTTGTTTTCTGGGCAAAAGCACTTCACAGCCATCTTTATCAAATCTGAAGACATGAAGCTTTTGTAAACATTTTAACTTAGCAGATCTTTTATCTCCCATTCACACCAGTATCTACATGTTACATTCTTCATAATAAATACCAAAAAAGTATTGACTCCAGAATCAATGACATAAAACAAAAACTGAACTTGGGGGGAGGAAAATGCAAGGAAAGTGATACTGAGAAGAAAATTCTAAAGAAGTTTTCTTAATACTATGAGTTTTCTTAATACTATGATAAGGTACTAAGACATATCACAGCAGAGGCAGTAACACTCACTATATGCTAGGCACTTGTTAGGTACTTTAAATACTTCATTCTTCTTTAGTTCTCACAAAAAGCTCTATGAGATAAATAGCAAACAGGGTTGTCTTTCAAAGAAGTTACCTAGGAAAACTATACTTTCATTTTACTGTTTTCCATAGTGGCTCCCATAGTTATGTAACTTTAAAATATATTACATATAAAGAATATCCTTTTAGAGACAATACAAAAAAGCATATTAAAAGTTCCAAGAACAAGCCTGAGCGGAGCAAGACCTTGTCTCTACAAAAAAAAATAGGTAAATAAATAAATAAAATTAGCTGGGTGTGGTGGTGCACAACTGTAGTCCCAGCTTCCCAGGCCACAAAAAGAGGCTCTGGCTCAAAAAAAAATAAAAATAAAAAAGGTTCCAAGAAGACCCTGTAGCAAGAAGAAAACCTGTTCAACTTTAACTCAGTGTTTGCCAAACTCATTTACTATCACAGAACCTTTTCTTCATCAAGCAATTGTTAATACTCAAGGAATATGTTCCACAGAGTACAGCTGGGGAAAAGTTAATTTATTCCAATGATTTAACATCTCAACGGTGTATTGGGAATTTATCTTCCTGGGAAAGCCAGTTTATAAGCCACATTAAAAAAACATTTATTACTGTATGATAAAAGAAGCTCTCTCTAATGTAGCTGTTAAGACAAAACAATATTTACATTTTGATACATTATATCAAAATGAACATTTCTCAAATTAGACTTGTTATTCATCAGATTTGACTCTTGGAGATACTTTACATGCTTCCAGAAATTAAATTTGCCCTCAAAAACAAGGCAATTTTCCTACAATGGTGATACTTAAAGCATATGATTTTGGTATTGAATGTTAACAGCAGAGGAGTTTCACAATGTTTTTAGCAATTGCAGTATCGTTAAAAAAAAAAGTCTACTAAGGTAATACCTTTAAAGGACATTAACCAGTTGGGTACATGTGTTCATTTGACCAAACAAGTATTTACCACATGTCAGGTGCCATGTTAAGTTTTGTGAATAGATAAAGATCAGTAAGACAAGCCAGTCCTTGAGCTTGAGGACCTCAAAATCTTTTGGGAGAGACAGGTATATGAATAGATAACTCAAAATATTTTTTAGAGGTGAAAATAAAGAAATTACTCATATTAGGAAGAAGGGAGGCATAGAATAGAAAGGCTTAATTAACTGAGAAGATGGCACATAAACTTTTGAGTAGGAGACCATAAGGTAAAAATGGGGAAGAAATGACATTTATGAGCACACCAATGGCAGTTAAATACTGACAAGGTGTACCACATCTGATGAATAATGAGAAATGTGGTATGCTAAGAGAAAAACGTGTATTGTAAGGTTAAAGTGGAGACATACCACTTTGAAAAAATTAATAGGTTAAGGTCAGGTTATGAAGAACTAACTATGTATGCTAAGCAGCAAAAGAATTTAGACTGGTCACATGGTAATAAAGGAATTTATCCTTGGAGTTGAAAAGCAGATTGTTTTTTAATAGACCAAACCACCTCAATTATAAAACAAAGAAACAAAGATGCAGCTTAAACATCACCTCTGCTGCCAGTGTTTCATGACATCTCTAAGCTTGTTTTATATTTTCTTGGGTCTAGTGTGCCCTGTGTACATGTCTTTATGACATTGGTCACACTGGATTATAACTTATATTTCTTATTTACTTGTCTATGTCTCTCATTAGACTATAAACTCCTTGAGGACAAGGACTGACTTTCTTATACTTCCAGCACTTAAACCAGTATCTGTTTAGATGGTCAAAGCTTAATAAATGTGTGTAAAATAAATGAATTATTAATTATGTATAGTAAAAGAGACAGTAGATCCCCAAATTTTCAGATTAAGGCACTGTGTAGATGATACTATTATTATCCACAATGAATACAGAAGGCAGAACTGTTGGGTTTTCAGGGGAGGACATTGCCAACATTGAGTACCCTTTTAGATGCAATAATGATAAACTACCACTTAATCAGTACTTATGTGTGCTGGGAACTATTACAGGCACTTTAAATCCATTAGCACTTTTAACAGTCTTACAAGGTAGGAGGTATTTTTAGTTTAATATTAATATTATGGCCATTTTATACATAAAAGATTGTGTGCTAAGGAGGTTAAATAAAGTCCTGCAGCTAGTAAGTGGCAAAATGTAATTTAAAATTAGGGCTATTTGATTTTATAATGTTGTTTAGGTTACACCATGCTTTGCCCGGTTAGATAGGTAGAAGACATCCAAGTGGTAGTTAGCAACAAGTGCCTGGGGCTCAAGATAGAGGTTTTGAAGATGTTAAACACTTAGTAGATAGTTGGTAGCTGAAGTCATCAGAATAGATGTGCTATAAATAGAGTAAATAAGGTAAGATTAGAAGAGGACCAACGATAGTCCTAGGAACCTCTGATATTTAAGATATGTCAGTAAAGAAGGGAGTTCTGATATCTTTGTTAAGTTTCTTAAGAATCACAACCTGGCAAGTTAATAACATTGTTCTCATTATTCTTCCTATATACTGATTTAGGATCAACAGCTTCATGAAAAATATTATAGCACATCTTCTAAATTTATTTCAAAGGTTGGTGTTTTCTACATTATTTCAACATTTGCAAAGAAAAAAAAATACCAAAGATGCATCTTTTCTGCATATGTGAAATGTCATTATCTATTGTAAATATTGAAAGGATACGTGTTTCCTTGATAATGACATCTCTCGTGGCTTGATGGAAAACCATCTGGTAGAAGACATAAATTATCTGACATACAAATTCATCATCTTCTTGTTGAGCTGAAAAGGAAACAAAAACTCCAAATAAAAGAATTCTATGTTTATATACCAAATTGAAAAACACTATGGAGAATAATAGAGAATGAGAAAAACTAAAAGCGACAAGGAGACAAGAACTCATCAATTAAATTAATTTCTATCTTCCTTATGTGAAACAGCGACACTTAACCCCACTTGTTTTTTTTTTTGTTCATCATAAGAATTCTTCAAACAATTCTAATGTGTGAAATGATTTTGTCTTTACAATGTTGATTTCACATGAGAAAAACAATTCTTAAAAAAGGTCACACCTTCTAAATTCTCAGTTTTGGTACACATTAAACTATTATAAAAAGGTATTTCCTTTTGTTGAATAATGTTCACAAAATTAAACTTTACATATTGGCATAAAATAAAAAGTAGTTTATTATCAATCTAATAAATTATAGTAGTAAAAAATAATGTTATGTAATCATAAACGCTAATTAGTAAGTGTTTAATATCATACAAACAATAACAGAATAGCTGATATCCACAGATTAATCTGTAATGGCAAAAGCATAATTACTTATAGGAATCTAATTTTAGGTAATGGTTATGAAATTTGATTTACTAATAGTGTAGTTTGCTATCAACTCTTGGCAATAGTTCAATGAGATGTTAGAAACAGATAGATCAATAAAGTATCCAACTAATTGCGTAGAATAAATTGTGGGCCTCTTAAAGTCCAATCTGACCCAAATCATCTCCTTTACTAACTTGCCAAAGTACTACTCTCCCCAACTAATTGGGCTGAATTTCTCACTATTAATTACTGTCTTGGTATACAGTATTCTCTCACTTAACCCCAAGGGTTTTAATCTTGAAAAGTTATGGATTTCTTAAAAAGAGTATTATATAGTGTCTGTGATACTCTCATGTCAGAGAACATCAAAACAAAATAAAACAATCTGAGCTGGCTGTCAGCTCTCTTTACAAATATCTCATCTTTCTCAATTATCATATAATCACTGTTGAGCAGCAATTCCAGGAAGCAAGTCATTTCACTGTAACTTTCTCTAGCTTTCCAATCTTCCATTGAAGATTTCACTTCAATGAAATCATTCTCACTCTGTCAACTACACTGTCTTCACTTTTGCCTCCCAACTACCTAGTCTCTTTTTAAATTATTTCTAATCTGAAAACTTCTGGCTGTGAGATGGGTGTACCTAGGTAAATATATAAATATACTACAAATTTGAGAAGGAATACTTCAAATGTAGGGGCATTATCTCTAGATGACCTATTTATTAAAATGTATTACAATAAAGATCTGACAAAATTTTTTAAAAAACTCAAAAGAGAAAAATTTGCACAAGATAAATAGGTACATTATTTTATTGGCCATATTTAGTGGTCAAGAAATATAAACGGGTGCTCAACTTCATTAGTCATAAGGAAAATGCAAATGAAAACCACAATGAGATACCAGTTTGAAGGCTACAGTTAAAGGAAATGACAATGCCCAGAGTTAGTAGTGATGTGGAACAACTGTTAATTTTCTTACATTGCCGGTAGGCCTGCAGACTGGCACAACTACTTTGGAAAACAGATAAGCACCATTTATTATGGCCAAACACAAGCAAACTTTGTGACCTAGCAATTCTACTCCTAGGTATGTACCTAATAGAAATCAGTACATATGTTCACCAAATGAAAGGTTTAAAAATCACAGGAGCATTACTTATGATAGTTCTCCCCCCTCCAGAAAAAAAACCCAAACCTACTATCCATCAACAATAGAAAAAAATAGTGATATATGATATAATAGATTTATTATATACAGCAATGAAAATGAAAAAATTTCTGTATACAACATAGATGAATCTCACAAACATATCATATATAATAAAGTTCAAAACCAAGCAAAACTAATCTATTAGTGACAAAAGAAAAGACAAAAACCACTTTGTAGATGATAATAGCTGGGATGAGGGAGAAGAGATACTTCTAGAGGGCTGATAATGTTTTATTTTCTTATGTGGGTGATGATAACTTGATGTATTCACTTTGAATATTCATTGAGCTATATACTTAGAATCCATATATTTTTATGTGTGTTAATACTCCAAAATCAATTAAAATTAATACAAAATGCACATATATTATACATAGGACAAGGAAGACTCAAATAAAAGTATCTAATTAGCCATCCCATATTAAGAATTTTTAACTTTTATACTGTTAGCTATTTTTAAGGTATAAGATGCTAGAGAACTTGCCCTAATAAAATAACAACTGGATTTAGATAAATTTTATATATAATATGAAGGAAAAAAAATGAGCCCTGGCACCTTAAGAACAATACAAATGTAAGGGGAAGATGCTAGCCCTGCACTATTCTATTGCAGCCATAGCCACTGTAGCTGATTAAAATTAGAGTACATTAAAAATTGAGGTTCTTAGTCCTGACAGCCATATTTCAAGTGTTCAACCACATGCGTTGGGCACTGCAGATATACAACATATTCATCAGACAATACCCTCTGGATATAGAAGGGAATATGATGTTTAGAATCAGCTTCCAAATGAACTTTCCTACTTAGGAATCAAGATAAAAAAAACCAGAGCTGTTACAAAAGACAGGATCAAACTCAAGACAAAGAAAGAAGAAAAATGATAGAATATAGTAGTCCCTGCTATTGGTGGTTTCTCCTCTCCTTGGTTTCAGTTACCTGCAGTCAACCTCAGTCCAAAAATATTAAATGGAAAATTCCATAAGTAAATAAATTTTAAGTTTTAAACTGTATGGCATTTTGAGTGGCATGATGAAATCTCTCACCATTCCACTCTGTTCTACCTGGGACATGAATCATTCCTTTGTCCTGTGTGTCCATGCTCTACAGCTGCCTGCCCATTAGTCAGTAGCCATCTAGGTTATCAGATCAACTACTGCATTAGCACAATGCTTGTATTCAAGTAACTCTTATTTTACTTAATAATGGCTCCAAAGCACAAGAGAAGTGATGCTAGCATATTGTTATAATTGTTCTATTATAGTCATTGTTATTAATCTTACAGTGCCTAATTTATAAATTAAAATTTATCATAGGTATGTATAGAAAAACCACATATAGGGTTCAGTACAATCTGCAGTTTCAGGCATCCACTGAGGGTCTTAGAACATATCTCTCATAGATAATCAGTGACCACTGCATTAGTTGTTAAAGGCTGGTGAGAGGAAGACACAATCTATAAAACTGGTCTTGAATTGCTTTACTGTAACATTCTTACTTTGCAACCTAATCTCTTTGATATTACTTTATCTAATCCCAGTTAGCAGTATATTTATAATAATTTATTTTTCTTAACTATATAATTTAAGTTGCTATAAAATGATTAATGATTAATGTAACAAGATAAATACTATTTTATGATTACAGACTCTACATCTTATATTTAAAAATTTAAACTAATAACCTGTTTAGATATTATCATGAAAATTAATTAAGATTATTTACCATTTAGCAATTCAATGAGTGCAGGGATTATTCCAGATTTGGCTAGCAATGCAGCACAAGAGTCGTCCATGGATACAGTGCCAATCATTATAACCACTTCTAAAACAAGGTCATCTTCTGCGGCACCTAGTAAAGTCAAACCATAGAAATTTTTCATTGAAATATCTTGATCCAAATTCATTTATATTACCAAAACTTTAATGCACAGAAAGGATACTCAAAGCTATTAAATCAATTCTTATCAATTCCTGACATACTCATAAATTTGTCCTTTCTCCAAATTTCCATGTTCACTGATGACAGTGCAGGGTGATTAAGGGCAGTAGAGAAGTGGAAATAAGTCTTTGAGAATACAATTGAAAGAAAACGTAGACACAGAAAATAAAAGACTCATCTGAATGTCTCAAAGAACTTTGTGCTTGTGTGCATATGTATGTATACATAGAGGAGGATGGTATTTGGTAATTTAAAAAATGCTGAATTAAAAAAAAAAACCCAAAACAACAAGAAAAGTAGGATAGGGAAGGGAAACTAATACTAAGAAAACATACTGTTAGGAGGAAGAAAAGTGAATATAAATATAAGAGGAGCTCTTCTGTGAAAAGAGAGTTTTGAGAAGAAATGGTTTTGCCTAGTATATAATAATACAGTAGTCACAAAATACTGCTCCAGCAGCCTTATCCACAACAGAAAGAAATAACTTAGTGATCATGTAAAAGTGAAATACTTAGCACAGACCTGGTTTTAGTTTATCCTTGAGGTACGGAACCAACTTGTACTCTTTAAGCACCAATTCCCAGTCTAAGTCTGGAATGGTCAAATTTGCAAGAGTTCCCAAACATTCAATAACAAATTCCTCCTCTTCATCATTAGAGATCTGGGCTGCAAGATCCCCAACATAATCCTGAATAAAACAGAATTTTAGTACAAATTTAAAATATCATTTTGTATTTAATCTAATAATTAACCAAGAGAAATCTAGTAATTTAACACACAGGAAGAAAAAATATCAAATGTGGTTCTCTTGTTTTAATGATCTTGAGGTAAACTGCTAAGAAAGCCTATGGTGAACTGGTTAAAGGCAAGAAGAGTGTAGTATGGGTAGAGGAATTAGGGAGAGAGAACACAAAACAAAAACAACATGGAAACATAGGTTGAGATTTCTAGGAGCTAAACTAACAAAGAAGTCCATAACAGAAGAGTCAATCTGGATCATGAGTTAATATTTGACAAGAGCCCAATAAGAGTTACATTTCTAAATGCAGTAATTTAAATCTTTAATTCTTAGTCTATTTTAATAGAAAGCCAAAATCATACTTACAATAAATAAATTTTTAGTTGGTCCATCATGCTGGGAAATGTTTCTAATCATTTTCATTAGCAATGGATCCTTGAACTTCAGAGCCCTCTTCATGAGCATCTTCAGCCCATTTCCTGAAATAGAAAATCCCCCCAGTAAAATTAAGGTTAACTTAATTTGTTTAGTTTCCAAAAATATCCACAATAGTTTATAGCCAATAAAATGCATAAGTCTTAAGCGTACAATTTGATTAATTTGGATAAATGTATTTACCTGTGCAACCTATACCTACCACATATCAACATATGGACGGACTATTTCCATTCTCTCCAGAAAGTTCCCTTGTACCCTTTCCTAATTAATTTTATTCCCCAGATACAACCTCTTTTCTTCTTTTCTCTTGTTTTCTTTTTTATTTAAAAATATATCTTAGTTTTGCCTGTTCTAGAATTTCATATAAATAGAATCATAAAGTATGTGCTCTTTTGTGTCTGGAATATGTACCACAAATGTTAAAGGCATAACTACTTTTGACCTAGAAAAACTGTACTTCTAGGAATTTATCCTAAGAATATAAAATGAAAATGTGTAAAGATTCAATGAAAGGATAATTACTGTAGCACTGCTTGTAACAGAAAAAAGGTGGCAACAAACTATATATATCTAAAATAGGGAAAGAAACTATAGCAAAATCATTTAATGGACAATTTTGCAGCTATTAACAATTATGTTTTATATTATGAAATTATTATTTAATCATATGGAATATTATTAAAGATATTATTAATTTTAAAAAACATTTCACAATAAATATAGAGGAAAAACCACATTTTATATTTAAAAATATACAGAACGATTACACCAAAATTTTAGCTATGATTATATGTGGATGGTAGGAGTAAATATTTTACTTATTTAGTATTTGCTCACTTCTGTTTTTTATAACAAACATATACTACTTTTTGAATAAGGAAAAACTATTGGGGACTCTGAAACATCATCATTTATGATAAGCCATTTTACCAACGTATTATAGAAACAATAACTTAATACATTTGTATTTTATCACCTCACATTATAATAGACTGATTTGCAAATAAAAAGTTTCATTTTATCTACAAAGCATTTAAAAATCAAATTTCAATTAAGACTAACTGACAATGGTTTATTAAATGTTACTGAAGGTGTCTCCACTCATGACATAAGAATATTTTATCTGACCTTTAGGGATTATAGCTATAATGAAGAAAATATTTGAAAATAGGATTTACATATCCACTATAATTCTTAACTTCTTATTATGTATTTTCCATTATCTGCCAATTACCAGATGCTAAAGAGGTTACTTACAAAGTTCAAAAGCACTAACCTTCACAAATAAGCTGTACATTCCTCTTATTAGCAGCAAGATTAATGCAGAAAGAAATGAGTTCCAAGTCAATCCGCTCATCTGAACATTCGAAGAGCATCTTCATTAACTAGCAAGAAGCACAGGGCATATTTTACTCAAAAACCAAAACAAGTAAACAAAAAAACCCAGAAGGAATATTTTATCATAATGTGTTATCTTAGATTGTACATTGGAAATAATATAAATTATAGTATATATATATATAAGATCTCTCTCTCTCTCTCTCTCTTCTCTCTCTGTCTCTCTCTCTATATATATGTATATATATATATAGTGTGAGACACAAGAGTCTCACACTGCTGCCCAGGCTAGAGTGCTGTGGCATCAGCCTAGCTCACAGCAACCTCAAACTCCTGGGCTCAGGCAATCCTTCTACCTCAGCCTCCAGGGTAGCTGGGACTACAGGCATGCACCACCATGCCTAGCTAATTTTTTTTCTATATGTTTTTAGTTGGCCAGTTAATTTATTTCTCTTTTTAATAGAGACAAGGTCTCACTCTTGCTCAGGCTGGTCTCGAACTCCTGAGCTTAAGTGATCCGCCTGCCTTGGCCTCCCAGAGTGCTAGGATTACAAGCATGAGTACATTTTGACACATAAAACTGGCAAGCTTTACCATTCAATAACTAAATGAATATTTAATGAACTATTAGATGCTCAGCATAAATATAAACTTCCAAGTACAGTGGAGCATATAAGAGAAATAGACAAAACCTCTGCCTTAAAGAATTAAAAATATTATCTGGAAGCAGTGCATTCCAAGCAGATAATAGCTTATGCAGGAAAGATAGTACTCTATTAAAGAATTAAAATAAAGTAAGCATGTTTGGAGAAATGGAAACAGTCTTAAGAGATAAGGTAACAGCCAGATCACGCAGGGTCTTGAAGTACATGTTAAGGATTTTTGGCTTCACCCTAAGGATAATGAGAAGCTATTAAAGGCTCCTGAACAGAAAAGTGTCAGGATAAGATCTGTGTCTCGAAAAGATCTGGTCAGTGAAGAAAATAGATTGAAACAGCAAGAAAAAGTGGGATGCCATCTAGGAGGCTAGAGGAAAAGTCCCGGTGAGATGATGGCTGCCTGGAGTAGGTAGGGCAATGGGGACAGAGATAAAAGGACTAAGATATATGTAGATAGAGAACCAAAATGGATTAATAACTGGCTAGATGTTGGGGTTAAGGGAGAAGAGTAGTCAAGATGACTTCTATGTTTCTGCACTGAGCAATGAAATGAAAAGAAGTACTAACATCTTCTAAAAAAAGGAAACTAGAGGAGGAGAAGACTTTAAAGGAAAGACAATGATTTTGATTTTAGATATGTTGAGTTTAAGTTGCCTATGTGATAGTCTAACCTAGATATTCAGTAGGAGATTATAAATGCAGGCCTGAGTTTACAAGAAATGTTTGGACTGGAGGTACAATTATAGGAAATATCATATGTGATTGATAACTAAAGCTGCAGCCCAAATCCAATCATTTGGGTAAAGGTATAAAAATGAGGAAAACTCTACTTTTTTTAAAAAGGTAATTTCCATGTTAAATCATGTATGGAAATAATAATAAATAATAAAAGGTATGAAGCAAAAGATAGGCTACCTATGCCATTTAGCAGTAATCTAGATTTGTCATGATGAGAGACAGTTGCTATAATAAAGGAGAAATGAACAAACTTTAGGCTATAGTTTAGAAAAGCTAGTCATCTATTATTGGTAAATCAGCAAATTAAATTAGTGCATATTATGTAAAGATATTTTTCTCTCGGTCTAAATTGCTAACAACATATGGAAGTTATTCCTAAAATTTATAACATAAAATTGCTCATGTTTTATTTCAGGGCAATACCCTTTTAGAACATGCCTTCATGAATCCTGCACTGTGCCTTATATATAGTAAGTGAATAATAAATAATTATTTGTTTTAGACCCCATTCTGTTAAACTTTGTTTTGATTATTCTCTCTGTGGTTCCAGATGACTTCTGAGTTTCAAAAAGGATACATAGTCAACACATAAAAATAAATCATATCTTTATATGCTAGCAATGAACAGCTGGAAGCCAAAATTAAAAACATGAGCATAATTATCACTCCAATCGTTAGGTATAATTGTAACAAAATGTACTGATTTGTATGCTGAAAACTACAAAACACTGTAGCAAATGGACAGTTGGCATGTACTCTGCCTTTTCCCAGAGGACAGATCTTTAACAACAAATGTTGCCACCGATGGAATCTCTGAGTAAAGAACTAATAATTACAGAGTAAAAAAATTCTATGGCAAAAAGCCAATAATATTAATTTACTGTATTTATTTAAGATTTCACTACCTATCTTCCATTAGCAAATAAAATTTCCAATAACAATTAAAAGCTAATAAAAATGTAGGTGACAATCCTCTAATGAATATAATTATGTTTTTCAGACTGTCATTCAAAACCTACTATAGATTTCTTCCAAACTTTTACTGATATCAAGAAAATTTTTTATAATACTGAGAATATGTTGTGGAGGAAGCAATGCTTTAAGAAGGCAAAATACTTATTGCTAACAAAAATTATTTACTTCAAATCTATCTTTGTAGTATAAAAATTTTTCTTAAAAATGGGGTTACAGATGATTTGTTTAGAAGGTGAAGATTTTTTACAAAAGTAATTTCCATGTTAAATCCTGTGTAGAAAGAAATAATTAGGAGCTAGATTTTTAAAAAATAATGCATGGCTTGAAAACTTACCCAACTCCCATCCCCCAAATCAAGAGAAATTAGCACTAAATATGAATAGAATATATCATGATATAGAATTAGTTTTTCATAATAAGAAAGAGAAACACTTCAATTTTAATTAAAGCATTCAAATTTAAAAATAATAGTTTAGTTCAAACTTCACATGCAACATTATATCTTTAATTTGATTGTTATCATGGCACTTCAAAAGGAAGTATAATTGCTGACAACTATGAAATATTAAAACTAGATTGTTTTATGTTTTAACTATATCCATTGTCATCTTTTACTAATTTAACAGGAAAACACTAAAACGGCTTCAGCCTGTGCAACGAAGAAGCAATAGTGTTCAATCAGACAAGTCCCATATTGAGTATCAGATACCAAAGACCCAGGACTGAAATCACTGTGTCTAGACTCTCTGGCACCTGATTTCACTTATTTACCAGTGACCAGAGGCCAACCCCCACAGCTCTCTGTATTCACATACACCTCTACTATCCCCAACCCCCTACCCAAACATCTTTGAATGATTATGCCAGAACTTGGCATGCCTCAGGAATCTCTTCTGACTGGCTACTCCCTAACTCTCCTGTTTGAAGTGATGCTCTGGTTTCTGAACTTCAGCAGATAATGGCAGGCAAGAGCAAAGGGGGCTGTCAGAAAGGACGTTTACCAGCATTCGGCTAAAAGAAGCATGTAGATCAAAGAGGGGCCAAATAGGACAACTGTGGTGGAAAACATGTGGATCACTATGAAGATTCTTGCACACTGTTCTAGGGTAAAATATTAAATAACACCATGACATCACTACCTAACCATGTACTTTGATTGGCCATTCTATTACCAATAAATACTTTTATAAGCATCTGGATGGCATTTGCACCTATTTAAACAAAACATGCATCTCAGAGGTCTAAATAACAATGAACTGTTAATGTGTACTTTTAACTATTATTAGAATACAACCATTAACTCCTGGTTATCCCCAAGTATGCTTACCTGAAACAATCCACCCACTGAGACCATTAAGACCATGCATAAAGAAAAACTTGACCTGGCCCCCAAATTTTGCAGAATAGTGATATAATAGGGAAGAAAACAGAGTGCATTGGATAATTAGAGGCAATAAAGTACAAAGGAAGCAAAATATTGGACGAGATTACTAGGTACATTGTATATATAATCATCTACTTTGGATGTTAAATATTTCCAAAAGTGAACTCTAATCTAATTATAGGTTTATCTTATAAAACACATATAAGAGAGGCAGTATTTAAACTGGACTACAAATGGGTCCAAAATGATGAAAAAGATTTTACTAAGAGTATCTTATTTTGTATAGTGACTTACAGTTTATAAAGCACCTTTAAAAAGATTATCTAACATAATTAATGAATATGACTATACTCCACGTTCTTTTTGATCACTAAAACAAATGAATCACTATGAGCTACTGCATTTCTACCTTCAAACTCATTTTAGGCTTGTCTTTGAAAAAATTCATTTGTAATACTTGAGGATCTTTACTAAGCAAAAATTGATGTGCACAATTTCTGAAAGAACAGAATATTACCATTAACTCTAAGACATTCCAACCTTGGATATGGCTTTCTTTAATAAGTAGGTTAATGAGTTACTGACACAAATGAGTTTAAAACCTTACCTACATAAACATTACCTTGAGTAGCCAATATGCCTTAAAGAAGTATATTTTTAATACCTGCATGAAACTTGGAAATTTCATTGAATTTCTGAATTGCTCTCCATGATTATTTTATTGATATTTTACAATAAACTTGGCACTGGGTAGCAATAAAACCATGTAAACTTTTCCCTAAATATGTCAAAATTGGGCACTATACAGTACAAATTACAGGTTGGATGGTACTTTAGGAACAAATATATTCTAGAATATCATGTGCTTTCCTCAAAATACTGCCTCATATTAAAACCTTCGGGATGTTACAACATAATTTGGTAACATAACCTCACTCAAGAGCTGAAGTTTCAAAACAAAAAAAGAAGACAAAAAAATTCCCAAAACCTCTGAACGAATTTTAGAAAATTTTGTTCATGGAATATAGATCACAAATGCTCTAAAAACTTCACTGCAGACATGTTTGATGTTAGAAAACTGTCATCCAAGAACACATGCATGGGAATTGTTCTTGAAATGGTATGGGAGAACTTCCTACTTACAAAGTTTTAAATTTCAATAATATCAATGTCTAAAAAGTAACCTAGACAGGCTCTTATTCTGATTTTTTCATGTAAAAAAGTTGTATGCATTATATGTGAGATTATATATTCTAAAAAGTATAGGATAACTTCAGTTCAAAATTCAAGATAATAAGTTTTCCACCCCTTCTTGGTTTGTATTTATTTTTCTTTTATTTTCTGTTATTCTCTTTAAAATATAAATCTGGATAAAAATAGTCAATATTAGCAAGAATATTATTCTTTTCTGGCTGCTTTCCAATTCATATCCTGTAGTCAATGAAGTTCTGACTCTAAATGGGATCAGCAAAGGAACACCCTTTGAAACTGCAGAGCAGAAACCATTAGAACATATGGCGTGAGACCGTAGTAAATCACCTGTAATCTCCCTTTGACATGGCTACTCTTTTATTGAAAACTTGTTTGACAAAGAGTTTGATTACACTTTGCACTGGTTACAGGCTGACATGCATTATCTCTGTAAGAAGCTCTGCCGTGTTAGATAAGATGTGCTGTGTATTTTTTCAGCAATGTCTATTTCTTATAAACAAGCATAATTATCTCCTGGTATAAAAGTCTAAGAAATTATCCTTGAAAGTTTATTAATTTTTTAATGGCATATAGGTAAAGTGTTAAAATTCTGGAATAGCAAATTGAATTTTAGTACTGTTTCACTAGTTTGGAATAAATAAAAAGTCAATTAGAATTAACAAAAAGAGAAATTAATGATCTATTTGAAAACCTAAATGGGACTTTAATATGTCACTATATATTAATTATTTTTCAAGTAACATACATTTTAATAACTTTTTTAGGCTTACAAGGAATTGTTTAGTAGAAGTCTTAAGAAGAATTACTTTAAGAAGTACGACTTGTTCATATTCTTTTAAAGTGCTTTTAAAAGTATGTCATTTTTATTGCATATCGTATATGCTGTAAGTTTTATATTTTGGAAAGACGTTTTATAAAAAATAATGAAATATTAAAAATCAGCACAACCAGAGTTCTAATCATTAGTTATTCAAACTAATCATGCGTGGTTTAATAAAAATGTCACAATAGTCATTCTGTGATTGTTAATTCCCTAAGAGAAAAATCATGTATGTATGGAATCTCTACCCTTATAAAAAAAAATCAGTAAACTCCTCCAAGACAAATAGACCTAACATATGAAATATATCAAGTAACTGAGTCATAGTAAAATTCTTTCTTGAGAACAGTGCTATAAAAATGAAAGAATTTTGATAAAGTATTTTCCCATCAGAGAATGCAAAAAGCAGCTAAAACTATCAACCACAAACAAAATTAAAAGGTAAGTTACAAACTTGGGAAATATTTGTAACATGTAAATAGTTAAAATAGTTATTATATACATTGATCTTATTTACTAATGATAAAAATATCAATAAGCCAACAGAAAATTAGTGAAGGACATAAATGATTTGTAACCGAATAGAGATAATAAACATGAGAAAATGTTCAATCTCACCAATATTCATGGAAATGCAAAATAAAAAAATAATGAAATATCACATATTTAGAGAATAATATCCAGTTTTACTAAAAGTGAAATGCTACTTAGAAATGTAAATTTATGCTTTCTCGGAAGGTATTTCGACCAAAATATGTCAAAGACATAAGTGTTCATATCGTTTGACTTAATCATTCTACTTTTAGGAATTGAAAGTATAGAAGAGATGGTATAGAAGTATAGAAGAGAAAGTATAGAAGAGAAAGTATAGAAGAGATCATTTACAAATATGATATTTACTCTACACTATTTTCATTTGCTTACATATGTTTAATTACATGTTTTATGTGATAAATTGGACAAAAGTATAAACATACAATTTAACAATATTTAAATTATAGTACATCCATATAGATTATACAACTGTTAGAAATAATTCTTGAAGAATTCAATGACATAGGGGTATACTTATGACCTATTACCAAAGAAATATGTTAATATAAAAATTATACATATCGTATATAATCCCAATATATTATTTTTTAAGTATGTATAAAGAAGTGTACCAAAACATTAAATAATTGTCTCTGGGATAACAAAGTTATTTTGAGTTTTATACAGTTCTATACTTTCTAACTTTTCTATAACAAATTTAAATTTACTTATAAGAGAAATGTTTTTTGAGGAAAAGGATATCTGACAAATCAAGAGAAGAGAGTGAAAAAAATATATATCTTAAATGGTTTTCTTAAAACACATACCTGTGGTATACAGTCAGTATATGCAAACATTGATTTAACACGGTCATCCATGCTTATGTGGTAAAGAACACACATTGCTATTTGTTTGTAGTTTTCATTGCCTAGAAATAAGAAATCATTGATATGGTGAGAAATTTACAGACATAGATTTTTCTTGGTAGAACACACTGAAATTAATGCACTAAAATTTTAAAACTATCAAATCAAATCTTTATATAAACTTACTCTGGAAAATATTTTGAGCTTTCCATTTCAAATCCAAAGTTTGGAACATATTCATGTTATCTGTGAAACATCACTAATTTCCAAGAGAGAATATTTATTTTGCAAGGTGTATGTTTGAAAAAATAATTAACCACAACTCTAAGAATTAATTGTGTTCAGTAGCCCAATATAGGTTGAGTCTTGGCCTCCCACCCTTATTGTTTTATTAAAATATGTGATTAATATAGTTCATTGCCAGTGATAATAGATAAATAGTATATGTAAAAGTATATTTGATTTCTATGAATCAGAAACTGGAAAAATCATTCAAATTATGAAAAAAGTAGAACAGTATTTATAACATAAAAAATATACATAACTATAAAATGCTAAAGGCTATAAACTAAAGTCTAAAGAATGTGTCAGGTAAGATTATTCTACTTTTATATACCTTGAAACTGGAAAAATGAAAGTGAATGATGCATTATAGACTTGAAAAATCCAAATGGGACTTTAATATGTCATTTAATCCTCTATCTGCTTTTAGACAGAACATATTCTAAGGACTTATTTATGATATCAAAATCAATGATAAAACCCAGAGCTACAAAAGTTGTTTAATTAAAAGTTTTATTAAAAAATATCCTTTTTAAAAATTCTGGGCTATGAGATATCCTGAAGATATTCCCAAGGTAGTTAGAAATTCTTTAGAGGATATAAACTTTGGTATTCCCATAAGGCTTACCATAGAACATAGAAGTGGCTTGATACATATCTGCTGATTGATTCTATTTTTAATACTGAAAGATGAAAGCTGAAGAAATAAACACATTTAGTCTAAGTTAGAGGCTACCAGTTCTATAAGAGCTTCAGATTTGACACAGAAGTGTTTCAAAGAGTTCCAGGAGATATTTTAAAAGTAAGTAAAAAATATAATGACTCTTTATCTCCCAACTTTATTTTGTATTTCATTATCACCTGTATTTTTATTTAATACATAAGCTCCAGGAAAATAAGGACTTTATTCACTGCATTATCCTCAGTCCCAAGAATAGCACCTAGCACAAACTAGGTACTTAATAAATAATTGTTATTTGACTAATAACTACATAACAACAGTCATACTAAACAAACTACATGGCATTGAATCTTTAAAACAATCTGTCAAACAGGTCTTATCATTTCTATGTTTCAGATGATGAACCTAAAGTTCAGAGAAAAATAAATACTAGCTACATAGCCTTGTAAGTGGTTGAACAGAGATTTAAACACAGGTCTCTCTGATTCCAAAATCTTTACCAGGTTTTGGTACAATACCATTCTTAAACATTATAAGTTGAAACTCTTTTCTCAGTAAGAGATTATCATCAAGTATAAAAGACTGATATATAGATATAATGATAGAACAAAACAAGTTTTTAAAATAGAATTGTTTTTATGCCAGACTTTAAGATTTTACATATTTTGAAATTGTTTGGCTAACACCTATTTCCTATTGTTTACAATAGCAATAAAAACAACTCCTTGGGGTAAAATAAAAACAATTAAATTATTATAATGTTTGTCAGATGGACAGATATTAGTAAACATTTTTACCTTAACTGAAATCTATAGATTTTATTCAACTACTTAGAATACAATGTATGCAGGAAATATATTTTATATGTGTTTTATATTTATTTTATCTATTTTGCATGTTTTTCTCTATAGCATTATAATTTATAGGAAAATTACAAAATAGAGAGTCCAAGTCAAATCATACAAGGTAAATTTCACATCTCTTCTATTGTTGGGAGAGTTTCACTAGACAATCTACGAAGAATAGACAGCTGAATTAGAGTTAGATAAGTTCTAAGGACACTGAACTAAATATAAAGTTAAGATATAATACTATGGGAGAAAGTAATATTTAAAATCTTACGATGAAGACCAGTAGGTCAGAAACACTAGTAATAGCTGCAGAAAATAAAATATTTTATCACTTATTTAGAGATGAGAATTTTATTTGGGGATGAGAATTTTATTTGGAGGGAAACTAGCCATTTAATTTTGCTGTGTAAGAGTAATATAAATAATTGTTATATCTATGAACTGTTTTTTTACATGTTATTCATCTGAATATTAGAAATTATTATAATTTTAGGACTCTTCCCTACACTTTTTATTCTTACACATACCCTTACTGAGTTAATCTTTGGAAGCTATACATATCATAATTAATGGTTAATTATATAATTAATGATATATAATAATTATATATGCATTATATCATTACATATAATGAAAAAATTGTGAAATTACTCCAAATAAGAGAAAAGTAGAGACAAACTAGGTGTGTTCCCAATTGCAATACTTTTCTTCTTGAGATTAGAAGAATTGAAAGATTCAAAGATTTTAATGTGGCAGGGCACGGTGGCTCACGCCTGTAATCCTAGCACTCTGGGAGGCCGAGGTGGGCGGATTGCTCAAGGTCAGGAGTTTGAAACCAGCCTGAGCAAGAGCGAGACCCCGTCTCTACTATAAATAGAAAGAAATTAATTCGACAACTAATATACATAGAAAAAATTAGCTGGGCATGGTGGCGCATGCCTGTAGTCCCAGCTACTTGGGAGGCTGAGGCAGGAGGACTACTTGAGCCCAGGAGTTTGAGGTTGCTGTGAGCTAGGGTGATGCCATGGCACTTGCTCTAGCTTGGGCAACAAAGCGAGACTCTGTCTCAAAACAAACAAACAAACAAACAACAAACCCAAATATTTTAATGTTAGATTTTAATAAATCACATTTTTACACTGTGGGCATTCACTTATTCTAGTATAAAGCACATTTGCTATAGGAAAACATATGTATATATAGGATTTCATGATATATAGATGAAAAATGAAAAATTCCAACTTTATTCCCCAAGGAGGTAGGCATCCCTTATGTTTTGGTCAGACTGTGCTTCATAGATACTTCACAGAAATTTGCAGGGCTCCCCCCCAGGAATTGAGATATTTTAAAACCTTTTCAAATGAGGTCTTAGAGCAGACTCATATTCTGAAGGCAAGTATCCCTTTCCCTGCTATTTCAGTTATTTCCTGTCATTCACCTGTGGGTAAGTTCTAGTCCTACTTAATTTTTCAAAATTATAATTTGAAGATATTTTCTCTATATCATCAATTCACTGCAAAGTCATGTAACTTACTAAGGATAAAATAGACATAAAAGAAATCAGTACACAATATAAAATAGTCTTCAACATCAAGGTAAATCATTAAAGATTAAAATTCAATGTGAGGCTAGAAATGCAATAGGAAGCTATTCTATGCTTCTGGAAAGTCCATCCACTGCTGGTGTCAATGAAAGCACTCTAAAAAGCAGTGTCCTGAGGTGGTGCATCTTTCCTGTAAGGTGAGAGGAAAGAAAGGCCTGCCTTTAAGACATAAGTAGACCATTAAAAAAATAACGAGGAAGATCCTCTAGAGTTAATGATATACATAGCTTCCAAAGATCAACTGAGTAAGGGTTATGTAAGAGAATAAAAAGTATAGAGAAGAGTCCTAAAATTACAGTAATTTCTAATACTCAGATGAATGACATGTAAAAACAGTTCATAGATATAACAATAATTTATGTTGCTCTTGCACCGCAAAACTAAACATCCAGTTTTAAAAAGTAGGATGATTCATTCTTCAGGCCAGTCCTAATTCTGCTCTTGTATACTTTTCCCTTTTCTCTTCATACCCCATGGCCAAAGGTGAAATCTCCTTGCAGTTCTCTCATACCTTCCTAATTCTCTGTGATCCTCTATTAAAAAAAACCCTAAATGTCCCCAATTTCCTGTAATCTTGACCTAAAACGATCAGTGAATATTATTTAAATTCTGTGCTTCACAGTATCTTCATCTATAAAAATGGGATAATAACTACCTATATCAAAAGGTTATATGAGGATTAGGTGAGAGAATCCTGGTAAAGCCATTAGCACCAAGTCAGACACACAATAAACCAATTCAATAAGTATCATTTCTTATTATCATTACTATGCTGACAATAACATTTTTCTGTGTTACCAACAGAACAGTACTGTCATGTGTTCCTAATATATATGCTGCTTTGTGTTTTTCTATCCTCAAGACTAGAACTGTAGTTAGAAGTGAAGTAGATTTGAGAGGCAGCCAAGCTGTCTCTGAGACAGGGTTCAGAGGTATATTCTGAGCCTGAGGCTGGAGCCACTTGTCCTTCTACCTAGTCATTTTCCTATAAAGCTTTGCTGTTCCTAAAGTAGGGGCTCAGAAGAGTCATCCTACACTGAGGCTCTCTCAGTGACCTGTAACTAGTAAGAACCCATCATCATTCTCTCATTCTCACAGAATTATAAATTCCTTAATAACAAAACTTGAGAAACAAAAATGATCTCCTCCTCTTCCCTTCCTCCACACATACATTGTGAAATCTTTCCTCCTTTCATGCTTCCTTGTTTGTAATGGAACTTACTTGAACTCCTAAAGTGGGGAATGGTCATGGAGGTGATGGGCTACGAAGTAAAGGACAGAGAGAAGTTTGAGGACATTGAAGACAAATCTCACAATTAGCTATCCTGTTTCATTTACCTTTAAATAGCATGTTCTAGGCAAATAAAACCTAAACAAGCTGAGGTGTTTTCCCCCATGTTTGAGCTAAACACAACTAAACAAAAGAAACTGGGATTACAATTGGTGCTGCACCAGAGTGATGAGGGAGCAAGGTGACTATAATATTGTATTCAGGGGTTTATCTAACTCAAGTTGCTGATGTGTCTTCTAGATTTTGTCTGGAAAAGGTTACAGAACTCAAACAATTAATTTTAAAAAACCTATAAAATTAATTTTTCTTCCTTTTATATTTATTTAGGGAATGAAAAAGAGACAAACTGGCAT